AACAGATAAGCCTATATAAGAAAAGTCTACTATGCAAATTGTCCCTCGGGCGGTCTTTCCACCCGGAGACTGGGAGTTTAACCACTCGCTATGACGTGTGCTGACCACCAGGGGGCGGTGTGGAACATGGTGGGCATTGGCAACACAGCACTGGCAACAGGCGGCAGTGTAGGAGCTGCTAGCCCTGATGGGCCCCAATGAGAGCTGGACTGTGGGGGGATGGTAGAGCAGGTGAGTGGGTGGTGCCAGGACAAGGCGGGTGTGAGCAGGGGCTGATTGCCCCACCAATCACCCCACAGATGGAGACCAGTGGTGGCAGCAGGGGATGGGGCTGCTGCCCGGCTCCCAGGCCCTGAGAGAGCCGGGCAGGGGGCCTGGCCCTGACTGATCACCCCACAGATGGAGACCAGCAGCTGGCAGGCCCTGATAGCCTGATTGGGGCTGGGCCCCAGGCTGGGATGGGAAACTGGGGATGGGTGGTGGTGACCAACCTCCCACGGTGCCCAGGCAGGGGGCTGCGACCTCTCACTGGCTACCTGGGGGTGGGGGTGATAGGGATGGAGGTGCAGTGAGAATGCGGGGTGTCCTCTGAGCTCGCTCTCACTCCCCCTGCTAACCTCCCCCGGAACGCCAAGGCTCTTGCGCTGGAGAAGCTCCCATGCTCAGGTGCCAGGTGCCTGCGAGGAGCCCACCCCACATGCATGGGGCCTCTTCCGGGTGAGCCGGGCACAGCTGCCAGGAACACAGGGCCAGTTGGGCTCCCTGTGGGTTCACACAGGAGCCAGTTTGCGAAGCTGGCTGGGGGAGAGCATGCTGCCCACCTGGCTTCCATGTGGTGTTGCTGGGTGTCCAGACGCCCCGCTCATCACATCTCCACACGGGGACTCGGGCGCCGTGACTCAGGCGGAGAGGGGCGCATGGGGGCCGGGGGCCTAGGTGCTGCCCAGGGCCCAGAGGTCAGCTGGGACCTGCTCTTCCATGCCAGACACTCGCACTTTGATTGCTGGCCAAGACTAGGGACCGCACCCGTGCATGAATTTGTGCACCAGGCCTCTAGTGATCAGTATGTTGGGCTTCTTGGAACACAGAAGCAACAAAAGCACACATGAGCAGTGTTAGATCTCGTCCCTTTACTTTGTGAGATGGAGGTGGGTGGCAGATGCTCATTTCGAAGAGTGAGAACGAGGGTGGAGTGGGAGTGGTTTGCACGTAGAGACTACAAGTGCGAGGGATTTATGCCTGAGTGGTAATGGCAGCATGAAGGTGACAGAACAGGGAAGAATGAAGAGAATAAGTGGTTCAGTGTGGGGCGTGGGAGGATAGACAGTAGAAGTATGAACCCATGGTTTCTGGCAGAGAATCAGAGTGAATGCTTTTGTGCATATGGTTTCACGAAGTAACCCATCCACTAAACCATTTTGGCATCCGAAAGATGGTATGTTAGCAGCATTAACCTGGGACAATAGAGTGACAGAACTCTCCAGCACGAAATATGCTCTTCTATCACACATTTCAATTTAGCTTTTGGTATGGAGTGGGGATGGAGGGAGAGGATATGTTTAATAATGGTTGTTTGAAGAAGATATTTTCAAATTTTTATTTTATGATTTAAAGTAGGGTAATAAAAATGTCCATAACAGAGAAGATTCCAGTGTGGGATCAGGAACTTTGGGAAAGTAATTTACCTCTTTGAGTATCAGCTTCCTCCTAAAATGCCTCCTCTTTGAGTATCGGCTTCAGCGATCACTAGACCTCAGAGGTCACCAGAGGCTGGGAGGAAGGTGAAATCTTCAGATTCTGGGCCCTTTTGGTTTCCTACAGGGAAATCTTTTCTCTTTCTTCTTTTTTATAAAATATATTTTTATTGATTTCAGAGAGGAAGGGAGAGGGAGAGCAATATAGAAACATCCATGCTGAGAGAGAATCATGGATCGGCTGTGTCCTGCACGTTCCCCACTGGGGATCAAGCCCACAACCTGGGCATGTGCTCTTGACTGGAATTGAACCTGGGACCTTTCAGTTCGCCGGCTGACACTCTATCCACTGAGGCAAACTGGCTGGGGCAAGCTTTTCTCTTTCAAGAGGCTCTTGACCATGGAGATGTAAAATCCAGCTGTAGCTACTAACGGGGATGTTGTGAAGTAAGTCCTGGCAGTCCTGTCAACAACTGGGCACTCGGCTTCCGGTACTTTCCCCCTACAGTTCCACTGCCCTCTCCTCAGCTCCTATCACCTTCATCTGATGCTGACTATAGAACTTTCTCCATTAGCACTGACCATAATATGATGTTCATAGATTGTGAATCACATACTTGAATCTCTACTGTACCAAAATATCATTCCAGGCACGGGGAAAACAGAAGACATATACGACAAATACCATAAATGAATATAACAAATTGGTCAGTGTAGGGTAACTTCTGTAACAAACAACCTCAAAATCTCAGTGCCTTGATACAATAAAAGCACTCATCACCTTCCCATGTTTGTCAGTTTCTGTTAGGACTGTGACCAGGGTACTTCCACCGGGGACTTTCCATACCCTAGAATCTTGGCTACCCACTGGGGTCCTCTGAATCCCACAGAAGATGAAGAATGAGAGAAGGGCATAGAGGATTGTGTGGGAGGTTTTGGGGGGACAAACTTCAAATTGTCATCTATTCTTTGGCCCACATTCTGTGGGCCAGAGCCCAGT